AGCGGATCAGTTCAGCCTCCTGAACCCTGCCACCTTTGATGACATTGATACTGTTGGCTAAGGTGATTCCCAAGGCTGCTCTCAGGACCAGGCTTGCCTCCCTGGCACAAGCCCTGAGCATAGCCATAGAGCGCCATGGAAGGGCACACAAGCCCCACATACCTCTTCAGCCCCAATGCTTAGCATCCTGGAAAAGACACACGGGAGCCCCCTGGCCCTGTGCATGTTAGTGAGGAGACCCTTGGGCAGCAGACAGCTCGGATGGCCTTCAGGCCTCTCCAGAGGTTGCTTTCAGTGCCATATGGACATTGACTTCAACCCCGGTAGTTGTGTTTGCCTTCCCTTCACCCTGACCCTGGAAAATTGTCATGCCATGGCCTCCAACACTCCATTCCCTTGGCACATCCAGTGAGGCAGTGTCTGGATATGGACCAGTCCACGCCTGTTGAAATGCTGAATGGTAGGCAGAGGATGAGGGGGTGCTGGACAACTTCCGTGAGCCTTCAGGCTCCAGAGAAGAAGTGACCCCTTTTTTTCTTGAAAAATGAAAGAATTGCGGAGACAGTAAACAAAGGGCTGCATTAAAATCTCTGTTTGCAGGAGATCATGAAGATTACAGTGATATTGTACTCCCTTGCAGGAGGAGGGATTAAAAGTGTTACAGGACCGATTTACAAACCCTGCAGAGAATAAGTATCCAACGGAAATCTTTGGCAATACCCTTCCCTTCCTCTTCTGGGTCTCACTCTGTTTTCTTGTAACACTTAGTACAAAACCACCAGCTCTTGCTTATTTTAGTGTGTTCTCTACTTTCCCCTGAACCCCAATGAAACATCAAAGGTCTGGCTCGAACACTTGCAAGTAAAAATAGCTCTAAAGCCAATATATTTAAGGCCCTTGAATGGTATCTCTGAAATAATTCATCCTAAGCCCATGAGAGGGGAATGATGTTGCTTGTTGAAGGAATGTGCGTTGCGCTGATAGTGGGAAGTACTGTCATGTAAAGGGCAATGAGTGATACTGCAAAACAAAAGGAAGATGAGAAAAGGGGCATGAAGACTGCATTGCACTGTATTGTGGAAGAGAAGCAGCATGTATTTAAGATAAAAGCTAGTTTCAAGCTGCCTTTATTTTCTCTTCTGCTTTGATCCTTCTCTTGCCTTCTTAGAAATTTAGATTTGAATATGTCTTTCTTGGTACATGAGAGCATGGTATATCTTGGTACATCCGTGGTACACAGAAGCATGACTTCCTCTTTCCCATATATATATATATCCCCCATATAGTACTGCAATTTGTTTATTAGCATCCAGGACTCACCTATTGTCTGTGACTTTTGCCATTTTTGAAGTAAGATAAATCAAAACTATGAAAGCTTCATGCACAACCCATCTAGTCCCTTTGTATCAGCCTTTTGTCTCTATTGGTCTGTATTTGCACAAAAGACTAAGCTTTCTACTCTCTGTCACTGCAGACTTCTGCCTTAAATTCCTTTGCTTCACAGGTGAATAATCTTCTCTTTCCATCTTCTAGTAACAAGGTAAATGCAGCTTTGCCATCATTATTCCTTACTGTGTTTCTCACTGAGCTCCAGAAACTTGGGCAAGGATAGCTCAAGCCATTGCAATATCATTGCAAGTGGGATTTTCTGGAAGGGATCAGTGTAAGTCCTGTCTTCCTCTGATCTGATGTTTTTCATCACCATTTTTCAGCAAATAGTTCCCAAATGCAACATTTCTAATTAGCCGTTCTCAGATATCATGGGGGGGTGCCGCAGGGTATTCCACAGACTTCTGCCTGTCTTGACAGACAATTTATGAAATCTCTTGAGTGTGAAGGAGGATCTCTTTTATAGGATGGTACTCTAAAGAAGTTGGAAAGTATACTTGATTTTAAGCACAAAGCTACATTCTTAAAAGGATTCGGAGAAACCCACTGAATTGAGAATATCCTCATGGCTCACCAATGAGGAACATGAACATGGCCATACGGAGCAGATGCAGGTTTCAAACCACTCTGTGAGCAGTGTAGTCGAGAGTACCATTAGCTGAGCCAGAGAAGGGAGGATAATGGGTCAAAAATGGCCAAATACAAAGGGACAAATGCTGGAGGGTGTGAAAAACCAGACCTATGCCTTACAGGCCTCAAAACTGCTCTATTAACATGAGGACTTGCTGCATTTATTTAAGCAGGATGAACAAGATAAAAAGAGCTTGTTGGTGTTGGATGCTAAGGCAATGTTTAAGACATCCCTGACTCACACTCACAAGCTGGGACTCGTTTTGCAAGTTCAGTCCCTGTTCAGATAGGATCAGGGAATGTCTCTGGGCTGGATTGCGAAGGAAGCAGAGTCTTGCCAAATATGCTCTGCCCACAGCATGGTCCAGACCCGTCAGATGATATTTCTTCTAATTTTACTAATGTATGCTTGGCCCTGATTCCATGCTACCTGAGGCTACAGCCGTAATAAAAACATGGCACACATGCTGTGGGTGGGTGCCTGCAGCTGGTGGGAGTTGAGGCACGTGAAAACGAAAAACACAACCCTTTCTTAATTGCAGCATAGAAATCAAGAATTATTATTCTTCTGATTCCCTGCCTTCTCCCTCTCTCTGTGGCATACCTTCACCCATAGCCCTGCAGTTCCCAGGGAAGATGACAACAGGTTTCCTCTGTACATAGGTTGCTCCATACCCTGAGCAAGGCTTAGATTTTCAGGCAGAAGTGAGCTTGTATGCCACACACAGCTTGCGTTCAGGTGTGGCTCCTATGCTAGGACCATCCCACGTACACACCTTGTGTGTTGCACTGATGGATGGGGTGTTGGTGGTCTAATCCCTACCTGAGGATGAAACCATCTACAGGCTACTGTCCTGCCACGGTCGTGCAGGACGTCCACTCCTGGGATGGAGTGAAAAAGCCCTTGACACACACTTGTGTCTTACCCATGAGCTGCTTCTCTGGGGGAGGTGGGTTGTACTGCAGCTCTGGGCTGTGTGAAAATCTCACTAAGTAGTTCATGGGTTTAGAAAAGTTGGACTTCTTTGGGCCATGAGCCCTCCTGAATATGCAACTTATAACAACATCACCATTGTGTCTATAGAAAAGAAAATAAAACTGAGGCCCAAGAGAAGGCACTGGCTTGATGGGGAAAAGCAAAACTAGTACTAGCATCTGTGGGACTTGTTAGTGAGGGGGACATGGGGAACCTGTTGACTTTAACCAAGAAACAGTGCTGAGCCTGGGTCTCAACCTCTGGTTGTTTCTGGGTCAGGTGTGCTGCCTCGGTGAGGGTGCTCACCCTGGGGGTGAAAACCAGTACTGACCCTCATCCTGAAAGGGAAGGGGCAGAGAAGAACTCCTTGATGCAGCCTTGTTTTTGTTCTCGGGATGTAAACACAGGCATTAATGGAATACTTCGTCAAAGCACCAGATCATGTTGAGGTACAAGTATCATGCTGACCACTGAAAGCAGCCAGCCATGGCAGCTCTTGACCTCCCTGTAGCATCGCCCAGCTAAGACATACTCCTGATGTCACTTGTTAGGGGTCACCTGGTTCTTGATGGCTTTTCCCGGTGGAATCCCTTGCAGAGACAATCAGCATGGGTTAGAGAAACCCAAACGTAGTGCTCAGAAGGCCATTTATGAGCTGGGTAATTTGAGATTTATATAGATCCGTAGAAGTTTCAAGCTTCTGACATAAGACCAAATCTTTGTTTCCAAGCGTATAGTGAGCATTGCAGATATCAGGAGTATTGCAGTATAAAAATTTACATTCGTCACACATAGCACGGTCTATTCTTGCTGATTTTCAATGACAAGCATGCTATTTACTGGCAGTATTTTTTTGCTGGCTGATGTTTAGCAACCCTACCTGCTGATGCCCAACCCTGCAGGATGATATGCAAGTAAAGATGATGCAAGAAATAGAAAATGGTCGCTTCCTTCTTCCACTTCTTCTTCTGACTGATTTCACACAGTTAGTATATATTAATGATTGCTTTTTTCACTGGTCTGTGCTGTTATTTGTCTTAGATGCCTTAAAAACACTTGCCCAAGCAATGCACTGTCGTATCAGACAGAGTTTCTTTTCCTCACTCTCCCTGGGGGAGCCTCCACCCCTCTCTAGGCAAAACACATGAGGTGCTAAGGCTTAAAATTTATGGAGCCTGATTTAAAAGCCAGGACATCTCCTGGTCTCAAGGGAAGGGAAATGACCCTTGGCTTATTTTGCAGTCACTCCTTTTCAGAGAAGGAAGTGCTAATAAGAGCTCACTTGAGGCACAGCAGCTTAGGACAAACGAAGGCCAAAAAGCAGCCGGATAATTGCTGTGACTGGGAATAAAGAGGAGCCAAGGAGAACACGTGAGAAGTTTCCCTTGTGAGCAGTGCTCTGTGAGCGATGCACATCAGCAGTCACGCTAATGTCTGAGGAGGGAGCTACCGAACACCCAGAGCTGCCCCTGGGGGGCTGCTTCCCCTCCCAAACCAGCTCAGCTGGAGTCAGCTTCAGGAGCTGGGCAGTGGGGACAGATCCATGGCTGCAGCGGGGGAGAGGAGGCAGAAGGGAGAGGCAGCACTGGGAAAAGGAAATGCATAAAAAACCACCGCAGACGTTGGTAGGAGTTAGACATGGAAAAAACACATTGCACACCCTGCAGTTATGTGAGCGCTCAAGCAGTTTGAGAACAGCTCCAAAACCCGGTCACGTTCACCCAGGGGAAACCTCAGGTGAGATTTCAAAGCACAACATCCTCAGGCTCTTGGGAGCCCTCCTGGAGGCACATCGGGGCACTTGCTCCAGCTGTGCCTAGCACCTTCCCCTTGTGATGAGCCTTCCCACAGCCTCCCCAGCGGGAACCTGTCCCCTTGGCTGTACCACCTCCAAGTGGCCTGGCCCCGAGTGGCCCTCCATGCACCCCAGAAGTGACCATGCTCCAGGCCCCATGGGGCACTGCGCACACACAGCAAGACGGACCCAACACTTAGTTTGTCTTACCTGGCTTGGCAATCAGACACCATCAGATTTCACCCAAGTACTGGGTCTGGCAACTTGGTTAGGCAAAATATCTTGGTCCTTTCAAGACCAAAGGGTCTCAGCCAGAAGTCTGGGAATGGGCTAGGCCAACCCTGCTGTTGCCTGATGCCTCATCAGCGGCAGAGAAGGGCTTGAGTGAGCTGTGCCTCCATGATACCGCCAGGCAACCAGCAACACACTACTGTAGAGGAAGGCAAAAAGAATCCAGGTCCTTGCTCTCTGATCTGAGGAAAGAATAGTTTTGAACCTCACACACAGTAATCACTTTGACCCTCAGCAAGTTAGAGTCAACAGTCAAAAGGGGATGTGGCAACACTGCCATGTACAACTGTTGCACCACTTTTCTTGCTGCACTTCCACTTATTGCTCAAGCACAGTCCACAAGCCTTCTGGCCAGGATTTGCCAGCGTTATACTGAATAAAAGTTGAGAGTGATAGAGTATAACACCTTCATTAGTAACTGTTAATAGTTCCCAGACAATGTGTGAAATGGATATAAGTAATTTCTTAATGAAAGACTTGATGCACACAAAAACTTGTGCCTGCCACTTGAATGTTATAAATAGCTTACAAGAAAATCAATTATCAGGCAGTAAATCTAGAAGTCCTATACAATAAATTCTTTTGTGTTCCTCATTTATATGGCTTTTTCTTGCTGTTACATATCATGAAGTCTCAGAAGGGGATTTGCTGTGTGTATGTATTTATGTAAACAAAGATTCCCACCAGATCATAGAATCATAGAATGTTTTGGGTTGGAAGGGACCCCTAGAGGTCATCTGGTCCAACCCCCCTACAGGGAGCAGGGACACCGCTAACCAGATCAGGTTGCTCAGAGCCCCGTCCAACCTGTCCTTGAATGTTTCCAGGGATGGGGCCTCCACCACCTCTCCGGGCAACCTGTTCCAGTGTTTCACCACCCTCATTGTAAAGAATTTCTTCCTTGTATCCAGATCTTTCAGAGGTGATGCGCCTCTGTACTGTCCTCATCTTACAAGAGTGAGGGAATGGCAGCACCTTAGCCTCTCCCCAGCAAGCAATTCATCAATCAAGAGGTGATTATCCCGCTGTATTTAGCATTGGTGCAGCCTCACTCTGAGAACTATGTGCAGTTTAAGAAGGTTGTTAAGGTACTTGAATGTCCAGAGGAGGACAACAAAGCTGGTGAAAGGGCTGGTGAAATGACCTGTGAGGAGAGGCTAAGGATTGTAGGTTTGTCTTGTTTGGAGAAAAGGAGGCTTTTTTCTCTGTAGCCTCCTGAGCAAGGTAAGTGGACAGGGAGGTGCTGATCTCTTCTCCCTGGTATCCAGTGATAGAAAGTATGGGAATGGGTCAAAGCTGTGCTAGGGGAGGTTTAGACTTGACATTAGGAAACATTTCCTTACCAAGAGTGTGGTCAAACACTGGAATAGGCTTCCTTGAAAGATGGTTGGTGCCCCAAGCCTGTCAGTGTTTAAGAAGCATTTGGACAATGCCCTTAATAACATGTTTTAACTTTTGGTCAGCCCTGAAGTGGTCGGGCAGTTGGACTAGGTGATGGTTGTAGGTCCCTTCCAACTGAAATATTCTATTCTATTCTATTCTATTCTATTCTATTCTATTCTACTCTACTCTACTCTACTCTACTCTACTCTTTTCTATTTCTTTGCCAGAGACCTTTCCCCTTAGTCCTCAGCTGCTGGCAAAGTCCCCTGCTTGCCTTCCATACATTCCATGAAGTCCAGCTCCCCTGGGGGACAGGTTGCTCAAACTAAGTCCCCAAGTGAGAACTGCTAAAACACAATTCTGTCTCTCTGCGCCCTGGTTTGGTGAGTGCGAGAGCAACTTGCCAGCAAAACCGCCTACGCTAGCTCTCTGTCCTGGGGAAATGACACCTGAGCATTTCCAGTAAGTGCTGCATCCTTTCACTGGCTGCTTCTGGGAACTCCCAGTTGAATCACACAACCCTCTGCAGAGGTACATGCATTTCCTACTGTTTCTCTCCGTCTCTAGAGAAACAAACCTGTGTGCACCCTCTTAGAGCATGTAGGTATGCTGGCAAGGCTAATCAGACAGATGTCAACTGGACAGAAGAGTACATTCAGGAACACTTTGGTCTGCAGGTCTGTCCCTTTTGCTGTCATATTGGGAACTGGAAGCATCCTGAGCCTTCAGAGGAAGGAGGTAAATGAACGAAAAATACACTCTTAGAAGTTGTTTACTCCTGTAGGAGCCATGAGCTTGTATTACTGTCATATTCTGAAGACAGAACCACATATGTGATATCCACATTGCAGCTGGCCTTTTTTTCCATAATGTCCAGGATAGACGGAGGACAAGAGTTGGATGCAGAGGGAAAAGTACCCCCCACACCATGCAATCTTGCCCTATTGTACATACTGACTCCACTGAGGAGTATTCCCAGCAGCTGGATCAAAGCACATAGTGCAGAAAAAGCATCCTTTCTTGCTACAACAAAGTGGGAAGGTGAGATGTCAGTGGAATCCTTACTGCAAGGCTGGGTTTGCCAGGCTTCACGTTGTCTGATCGTGTTGAGCTTTCACTCGCAAGACTGAAAAGGTCCCCTGGCTCCCCTCCATCAGATCTCTTCTAGGTGGAGTCACCCACCCGCAGTGAATAAGTGATTTCTCAACCTGCTGTGTGACAAGCAAAAGGCATCCTGGTCCTCAGTCCACAAAGCTCATTTTCCAGCTGCAGCCTCACTTCACTGATCCTCCTTTACCCCCGCCAGTGTCTTCACGTCTTCCTGCTGCCCTGGCAAAAGCCGTTCCTGTAACAGATGCAAGATTGCTTTCCTGATTGCTCGTCACCCCACCTTCCAGCCCTCTGTGAAAGAACTCGACTTTTCTTGTCACACCACTGCACGGAGGGCATCTCTTGATGTTATTGGCACTGCTTCCCAGAGCAGGCTCCCGTCCTGTAGGTAGACCCAGGGTTTACTTGAGTTGGAGAGCTTGCAGCTGTGCCAGGCTTTCCAGATAGCATTTGTCAGAGCACAACTAGTTTAAGCGAACAGAAACGCAAAGAACAGGCTGACTATCCCTACTCCTCGCTAGCCAAGTTCTGCACATATTCCCCAGTAAAATTCCCAAACAAGGTCAAGGCATTTAACTCATTATCATAATAGATTCCCCCCAGACTGAGGGGTGTTCAGACAGATGACGAACACTATATCTAAGTAATATGGATCACCAAAATCCACCGCTGCAACGCAGCTGCTTTGGACTGGAGCACAGCAGCTATCCCCAGCCAGAAGTGTTACACAACCATTGCCTAGAAAGGAGGAAATCAACAAAACTTCTCTGGTTCAAATTGCAGCAGAAAATTAAGTAAGTTAAAACTGGGCTTGGCCAGTGAGACTCAGACTTCAGCATCAGGGCATGGGAGATTGTGGTGGTTCTAGTGGCC